CCCAGGGCCAGGGGATGGGGAGCAGGACCATTCTCAAAGTCCTGTGAACTGACCCTGTGTGTTCCTGGGGCTCAGCCAATGGGGTTTGTGCAGCTAAACGGCCCGACTCCATCTTTTTCATGAAAAGAAAACATTTTTTTTTTTTTTTGCCAGTTAACTATGGGGTAATTATCAAGATCACCACACGAAAAGCAAATTAAATTAACAGCATCACCTGCCTAACGTGAATTTGGATCCCTGCCAGTTTCTTAACCTTTTAAACTGAGCTCAAGTTAATTAAACATTTTTTAAATCACTTTGATGGAAATGCAGAGGTGGTGGGACAGAAGAGAGCAGGTAGTGAGCAGGCCTCTTACCACAATCTCCTCCAAAAACGAGTATCTGTCGTGCTTGGGAAGAGCACCAGAGGGTGCTCTTGCCGGCAGAGGGCCGGCATCCTCATAGAAGCCCGACGTCTGTCCTCCTGACGTCTGTCTTGTAGTGGCATATAAGCTGGAAGATAGGAAGGCAAGCACTGTGTCTCTTTAGAAGAGGGAAGGTGATGGCTGAGGCCTTAGAATAGGTCCTACTTGGAAAATCCCATTAGCTCTTGACTCTTGGAGCTGGCGAGGGGTGGAGGGAACAGCTCTGGGTTTGTCCTCTCATAGAGAGGAATTGGGGGATTGATCCTAGCTCTGAGCAACTGAGACCACATAGATGGGGACCAATTGAGAAACTCAGTTGAGTTGAGCTCCACAAATCGTTTAGATTACTCCTATGTTGCTGCTCGACTAACTCCACTGCCTCTCTTAACCAAATAAACCCTGTGTATGAACTTTCCCGTTCCTTGTCTCCATTGCTCTCCATCACTGGCAGAGCCAGAAGCCACTAACAGTCTCAAGAGAGCTACTCGCTACTAATGAAGCCGGGTCTGGGGGCTTGGGGACAGTAAGGTGCCTCTGAAATGAGGAGGGCTGATAGGGCCAGGAACTCTGAGTGCTGAAGATGGCTTCAGCTAGCAAATAAAGAGGGACTCAAAGACTGCCTAGGGATGCCAGCTACTGGGGCTTCCAGTGTCCAATTCTCCCCGCTCCTCCTCGTAAGGCTGCTATGACATGCCCTAGGGAAGGTAGAGTCTGGCCCCAGTCTATGTCCATCCTCCAACCCTAAGACTCAGTTTCTACACAATGATAAAGTAGTAACCAGGAAAGCAGCAGTCTGAAACCCACCCCCTAGTCAAGTCACATGACTGCAAAGCAGCTGTGAAAGACCAGGCAGGCCCATCATTTGTCTCCAGCAGAAGTGACCCTCTGACATTTAGTACCATCCACAGAAGAGCCTAGGCCCACAGGCAATCCAGGATAACCCAGTTAGCAAACCTGAATCCTGGACCTGTGTGGATTTTCTTGAACCGGGATTAGTTATTTGGTTTGGGGTTTTGTTGTTGTTGTTGTTGTTGTTTTTTAAGTTTTTGTTTGTTAAATAGTTAACATCAGTCCCTTAGTATATAATCTCCTAGTACAAATTCACATTTTTTCAGTCGGTCACACTTTTTATTTGATTGATTATTTTTACTTTTGTTTTGATGTTTTTTGGCTTTTTGAGGCTGGGTTTCTTTGTGTAACTCTGGCTGTTCTGAAACTTGTTCTGTAGTTCAGGCTGGCTTCAAACTCACAGAGATCCACCTGCCTCTGCCTGCTGAGTGCTGGGATTAAAGGCGTGTGCCACCATAGTTTTTTCTTAAACATAGCTTCAAAAACAAAAGTTAAACAGAAAGGGGTTATCTATCCATGTGTGATCTGACCAAGTAGCTGAGACCCATGCTGACTCTACTTCCCACCATGACCTCCAGAACTTTCCAGCCCTGTGTCAGATCTGTCTGTCCTCTTCCCAGCATCAGGCTGGGAAGTCAGCCATCAGCCCAGCCGTTTTCACACACACACACACAGTCACACAACCTAGTCCCTTGACAACTGTAGTCGAGACCTTGGAATGAACCATATGTGTGCCTGACGTTTCTCTTTCTCTCCCTCCCCCACTTATGTTCTCTTCGGGACACGTCTGACCTCCCTGCCCTACAGAGCATACCTGGATGTCCAGGCAAGACTGGGCGAAGTTTCTGAGTGGTCCTTTGTTTAGGTGATGTCCTCAGACCTGGATCCCCACCAGCCTCACTCCTCATCCCAAGCAGAGGTGGCACACTTTGGATTGAGGGTTGACTACATCTCATCTCACCAACCTGCTGTAATATAAGACAACAGCTTTTAAACGTGTATATAATCCATGATTTTGGTTTGGTTCTGTTTGTTTTTCTTGGTGGTCTCCCTCTCCCTCCCCCCCCTTCTCCCTTCCCCTTTGAAATCTCCCTGAATCACATTTGGTAGTGATTTTTGACTTAGTCTAGTGTCACCTTAGCTTAATACCTAGTGAAAAGCTAACCATAGTATACTTGTTATATATTAAGGAGTTTTCTTTTCTTTTTTTTTCTTTAAAAGGAATTTTGTTTTGTTTTGTTGTTTTGATTCTGTTCTCACTTTTAACGGATGCTGAGATGGTGATGTTACTCTCCATTTTTGGTACCAATGCTGAGACTGTAAGAATTTTCATCTGGGACTTTAGCACACACTTAAGCAGAGTTGTGATGTGCGGGGCGGGAGGTGGGCATAGACTCTCTATGTTACATTATAGAAGTGACATGCAGTTGGCTGCTTAACAGACTCTCTGGCAGTTCATTTTTGTGACGTCTCTTTGTTAACCTAAGTCTATTTTCGGCAATAAGGTAAGGACGGCCGTGTTTTGAGGGTCCTCCTTTTCTATGAGTACTTCTTTTTTTTCTGTTCAAAGAGGTCGTATTATAAGGTTTTTTGAAATTGTGAATTCTAAAAAACAAAAAACAAACAAAAAAAGTTGTAAATAGAATTCCATTAACTACATAGAAACTATTAAAAAAGAGAATCAAAAATATTTTTGTGGGGGAGTTGCTCCCAGGCAGTTAGGTACCCTGGAAGGAGGGAGGGGAGGGAACCTTGATGAAGCCGGAACTACACAACACAAGAGCACCCAGCTGCCAGGGCCACCTGGAACTCCACTCTTAGCGCCTCTGTTGGTGTGGTAGACCTAAGAACCGCATTAGCACCCTGCCAGCCCAGCAATCTCTCTGTGCACAGCTTCAAATGTTATGGTCTAGCTAGATTTTTATTTAAAATATGAAAAACTGCTTTTCCCAAGACATTTTTTAAAGAAAAAAAACAAAGCTACAATTTTAATATTTAACATATTTAAAGTTTCAAAGCACACCTGTTTTGGCTTAGGGGAGGGGCAGGGTAGGGACATTCTTTTTCAGTCTTAATTTTTAAATATCTGATCATTTTATATTGTCCAATCATTTCAGCACCTCCAAAGGTCCCTAGGGTACTCTGTCTCTCTCCTCACCCTGTCCCCCATTCTGCCCCCAGAGAGGGGGCCCATGGGCCAGGAGTGGATAAGCCTGCATGACACACCCTTTCTCCACTCACTTTCTATTTACAAATTAGGAAAGCAACCTTTCGGTTTATATATATATATTTTTTTTGATACCTCAGTGCTGCAAGTATCATCAGAGAGGCTATGGAAGAGTTTTTTTTTTTAATTTATTGTAGATGTAAACAGAATTTTAAAAATAAAAAGTATAAACATCACTGCACTGTGACTGGTGGGAAAAACTGACAGTTTCCTGTTTGCACATGTTTGACATTTGGCTGTTATAATATATGGTCCTCAGTTGGGGGAAGACACTTAGGATGAAGGATATTTTTTAATTTAACTTTTTTTTTTTAAATATTGGTAATAGGTCGGCAACAGAAACTGTAGAAGTACAACTCAATAGGTGGCATTAAAGCGTATTGTAGTGTGGATATATATTTTTTCTTTTTTAAAATGTGATATTGACATTTTATTAATATTTTTTAAATTGTTACGTTTATAAATTTGGTACTTAAGGCACAGCCAGTATGAGACACTGAATGCGACATTTATTATAAAGAACTGCTGCACTCCTATTTTTATAAATTTTACTAACAATAGACTAACATAGACATTCATGGACATGGTAGCGCAAAAGCATCTTCAACCTAAAAGTCTCCAAAAAGCTAATTCAGAAAGAAAGTAAAGAAGCCTGCTTCCATCATAATTAAATTCTAATTAAATGCAACTTAAAAAAAAAAGAAAGAAAATCATGTTCTTTGTTTTTAAAATAAAATGCTGGGTTGTTTGGGAAGGTTTTGGGTTTTGGGGTGTTTTTTTGTTTGTTTGTTTGTTTGTTTTCAAGTTTCCAAACAACTAAACTGAGTAAAATGCTGGATGCTTTTAAAATACAAAGCTTATTTAAGTAAAAAAAAAAAAAACAAAATTGAAGTTTTATTTTGAAAAACAGCAACAAAGAGAAAGTGAGAGACACTAAATTCCCAGCAATTCAGTGTCTAGTTAGGGAATGAATTACTCTTTAGTCCATGTTGGTGATGTCCTGTCCCCAGCCCCCGCCCATTTCTCCGCATCCCCATCACCTCATAGAAGACTCTTTGTTGATCATCGTTTGTTAATAATGTATAAAATGGCTATCTTGTAAGCGTGCTGTCTTGGTACTAGCGTAGTGACTTTTTTTCTCCTCTTTCTTCTAGTACATATTGATAGGTATAACGTAATTAAGGTTTAAAAAAATTAGACATAGTTATTCAGATTTAGGACCAGTAAGGATAGGACTTTCTCTTATTTATGAAAAGAAAAAAATGCTAATAATTTGGGGGCAGTTTTTTCCTTTTTTTTTTTCCAAGTTCAAATTTTATTTTACTTTTGCTGATTTGATGTGGTTTCAACTAACCCAAGGTCTCAAAATGTTCAAACGCCAGCCGACTCTATGGCGTTTTGTAGGTCCCCGCCCCCCCTCTCTGTGAAGGGGTGTGCCATACTACCTTAAATGCAAACACTAGATATGCAAAACTGGATTTTTTTAATTTATTTTTTAAAAGAGGGAGGCATGGTATATTAAAATGATTTTACTAAGAGAAAAAAATATTTTTTTAAGGATGCTCAGAAGAAATTGATAATCTGTGTGAATATGTTTTAGATGTTTATATACATTTTGAAGAGACCCAGTAGCCCATAGCACAAATCTTGTGACCATCTGATATGTTTTCAAGTGGCTACCTAGGTTAAGGTTCACATTAGTCTCCCCTCCTCATCTAGAAGTCCATCTTAAACAGTTTTTGTAAGTTCTTTTAACACTGATGTCCATCCTTGTCTTTGTTTCAGTTGAACTCAGTAGCAACTGCGGGGACCTTCTCCTTAGGGAAGAAACCCTCTTGGGTAACGGCACTTCCCTGGCATTATCAAAAGCCACCAGGGGACTCTCTGGCTTCCAGATCCATCTGCCTGAGACCCCAGGCTCCTCTCCTCCCAAGAGGGGAGATGGAGTGGCAGTGACTCTTGGTCCCCTTCCTACTTCAGCCTGGATGTGGGGCTGGTGGAGATGACCAAGCCTGGGTTTCCTCCCCAGGAGCCACTGTGTGTGTGGGTTGTGGCCTTCCTCATTCTGCTTGGGAAAACCAAACAGCCTCACACTCTATCCCCATCGCTCATTGGCTTGAGTCAAATGAAGCCCCAATAGGCCTTTGAGGTTTTTTTATCCTTCATAACCATTCTCTTAATTTGAACTTGTAGCTTGGGCTTTAAGGTAGCATGGCTCGATTGCTGTCAACTTAATGTTTCAATGCACAGCAATTCACAGCCAGTGAATGTTACACACATCTTGCTAGACTAGTATGAAAATCATTGGGTAATTGTGGGTTCTAATGACCTGAAAGGTGTCCAGTTTTGTTTTGTTTTGGGGGTTGGTTTGTTTTTATTTTGTTTCTTTTTTTTCATTTGAGAATTTTGGGGGGAAATTATTTTTGATTCCAACTAGAAAAACAAAAGCTATTTTGATCTTTAGTGGAAACGAGGGCTAGGGACTTAGCCTCCACCACCCCTACCACACTGCTTCATTCTGCCGTTCACTGACTGCAGCATCTTCAAGACTAAAGCAATATAGTTTCCTACATTTTTTTTTTATTGAAGGTCAGCCATGCTTTCTGTATTATATTGCATATGAAATTGTTTACAAAAGAAACACTAACTCATACTTCTCTCTATCATTTGGAAGTGACACACAGGAACAGAGGGAATTTGGAGGGCAGGTGAGGGATGGGAGAGATTTTGGGGGTTGTAGGGAGCGGGGGTTTTTTGTTTTGTTTTGTTTTGTTTTTTTCTTCTTGATTGTGCTTTACTGACCAGATCCTCCAGGGAACGCAAAAGCCAGCCAGGCAGAGAGAGAGAGTAGAGAAAAGGGGCAGGCTGTGGGTAAGAACAGAGACACTGGGAAGCTCCCCCACTCTCAGCTACAGCAGAAAACAAAGATCAGCTGAGTCCAGACACTACACAAGGCAATGCTGGAAGTGAAGCAAAACTTTATACTGTTTAAGTTGTTTTCTTCTTTCTTTCTTTTTTTTTCTCACCAAAAAAATGTAAATTAAAATACAAAAACAAACATATAATTAAAACCGACCCCTCTCGGGGATCAACCATAATTCAAACACGGCTATTTGATAATCAGAAGGTATTGTCTCAGATAGGATTCCATTTCCGGGAGGCAGGGCACGAGAGGGGAAAGGAGCAGGACTGAGAGACAGTTCCAGAGCCTCAATGGAAGGCTCCTACTGCTGTATTCTGTACATACTGTACCACCCTGTGTGGTGTCTGTGAGTGTGCTCTTGAGTAGCGTGGGCTAGCCAATTTGCCATTCATGGTGTTAAACTCAGAATTCCATATGTAATAGGATGCAAGTCTAAGCGTTTCATGTGGACATAAATGTATCTAAATAAAACTTTCCCTAGCACTGTGGCTGACCTCACCCTTACTTTTATACTTTAGTATGAAACTGACAAGAACTTTGGTAGTGAGTATTTTTTTTATATATATACATATATATGTATCTATATATATATATATATCTCAAGCATCTTTCAGGTCTTTGTGTGTGGCTTTCTTAAAGCCCTGTTGTAAAAAAAAAAAATACTATGTGGATGGCAGTCTCTCACATCACAGATGTGGAAAGTATAATTTTATATTTGTATTTTCAAATAAATAAGTTTGTGAAAGGTTTCCATCCTCTACTGTGGTCCAGAAATCAATGTGTTTGTCTGACAAAAAAAAATAATAAAATAAACTGTTTTGAACAGAGTCTTTTAGTGTTCTTGCACTTGGAGAGGCTGGGGT